CCAAAAACTTATTCATACCACATGCACCATAAACTTATTCAATACATGAGAAGAATACACCCTAAACTCAATATAACCATGGAAATTGCCACAGATATGAGTGTGACCGAAACCGGAACACGTCCATTGTCCCTTCTCAGTATCATTCCTTCAATTATTGGATAGCTGATACTTGGAATGAAAAATGAGAGGAAAACATGCCCAGACCAGCGGTGAAGGAGACCATGTTCAGGGTGACTTGAGTAACCAATATGACAAGAAAAAATGGGTCCCCCTCAAAACTGAAGACACCCATTTTGTATCTTTCAACCTGTGCTTCATCAACAACCTTACTTGTCACTATGAAATTTGCCTTCTTTAAACCAATCAATTTCATGAGAACATCCAGACAAGCAAAGAAATAGGCTGTAACTGACTTTATCATCCAAATCCTGAGCTCATTCCACCACATTCTTAAGGATCCGGCCTCGAATAGGACCTCTGATAAGTGCTGAGAAAGGATAGAAACATAAACAGTTGCGAAGATGGCAAACCGTGGACTTGAAACCTGTAACAAAATCAAACTTTCTAGCATTGGAAGAGTAATAATTATATTGCAAGGATTAAAATGATTTTCTAGCTTATAATTAAGCATTACTTCATGAAAGAATGGTTTGCTAGGCTACAATCYTAGAGATTGGCCATGGTGTAATTCATTTCTTACCTTTGGGTACAAGGAGATGCCATTGAAGAGACACAGCTGAGGGATGGTAGCATAACATAGTATTGGGAAAGAATAGAAGGACCGGAATGCGAGGAATGCATTACACATGCTCTGAAGAATTGACATTCTTGATGATCCATATATCAAAGGGCAGAAGCTTGAGAGGCCCACTTTAAGCAATCCACAACCCCATCTAATGTTTTGAACCATGCTATCATTTAAACTGACAGTTGCAGAACCTAAAAATGATGGCAATGAAGGATAATTGTAGACCAAGTTCCATCCTTTGCAGTGAAGCATGAACCCAGTAATAAAATCCTCCGCCAGAGAATGGTACAAAAAGCCTCTGTTATATAGAAAAAGCACCAAATTAAAAGGTTAGCCTCTTGCAGAGACTCATCTGATGCATCTCCATTGACAAAATTTCTTTTATAGTTTTGTTTCAGTGATGCAATGAACAGGTTCGAAGGACCGAAACATTTTCGAAGTTGAAAGAGATCATTATCTGAATACCAAATTGACAATCAGCACATATACTATGTATTATCATTTCAAATTTTGAGAAAAGGGATGTAAGAGCAATAGTTGACATTTCTTAATTCGAAGGAATACCAGTTTTCTGCAGGGAAGTTCCATATAAAGCTTCTCTCCTAATGTAAAACCCTGTGCCGGACAGTATTGGTCCCTGAAGCCCATCTGCACCTCTCCACATTGTCTGGAGGGATATAGTACTTCAAAATTTAAGTGTTACTGAAACACTACTAATATTTATATATGACAGTTTTTCTATATGCTTTAATTCTTGACAAAAATGCAAGGGAATGTACTACTGATAGAGTAGAAGGTAGAAGAAAAATGTCCATCTTACTGTAAAAATTGAACGCAGTTGTGCGTCATAGATGTCATTGTTACTGATATTATGGAAGATCTGTGGGAACTGAACAAAAGCAACACATTTGGAGCTTCTGGGCTCAAGGTAGAAGCACATTGCTTGTTGAGCAGAGATGGGATCGTTACAGTACATGTCACAATCTAACACCAATACGTAAGGGGCATTGCTTATTATGCCCGACACACGAAGCTGTAAGAAGAAAGAACAAAACAGTTTAGTTATTTACATGTTATTTACACACAGAGAGAGAGAGAGCATACAAAGACGTTTAGGGCACCAGCTTTAAAATTGTGATGATAGTTTTGTCTTTTTTCATGGGAAACATAAACAAGGAGGGGCATCTTATTAGCTTGTTCCTGGCCAACTGCATCTGATACTTCATTCTGTATCACCTACAAAAGAGCAAATATGTTATTACACAATGTTTTGCTTAGGCTCATTTTGCTCGGAGTGCAAATTTCATTTGCATTGGTGTAAATGTATGGGAATGCAAATAGGTTTGACTGTAAATTCTGTTTTACTTTTTCTTCGAATTTTGCTCTGTTTTATTTGTTTTTGAGGGTAAGATTTCTCAAAAAATAAAAAAGTAAGTAAAATGGTGTTTGCCCCCCGCCTTGTGTGAAAGAGAATGGAGGTAAGAGGAGTGTTATTTGTTTGGGAGGTAGCTAGGAAGGAAGATGGTGCAGTCCCCACTTCACATGAGAGAGAATTGAGGTAGGAGGAAGGAGGAAGGTGGTGCAAGTTTTGCATTGGTTTTTGAGATGTAAAATTTGCATTGCCTATGAGTGCAAATGAAGCAATATGTACAAATTTTGCATCACATAAGAGTGCAAATCATAATTATAAACAAGTAAATGCAAAACTGAACTAGATGCAAAATTTGTAATTAATTCAGATTTGCACTACACATGTTTGTAGAGAAAACTCAAACTGAATACAAACTTTGCAGCCAATTCAATTTTGTATCTGTTTGTTTGTAATGAATACAAATTTTGAGGAAACTATTTGTAAATACCCTGTAGTTTAAAAACCTACTTACATATATACCTTGTAATTAAGATGGCCCTACATAACACAATTAGGCCATCTGGTTTAGGTGCCCATTAAATTTAATTTTCTATAATCTCATTTTTACCGCTTCTCTTCCTTTGATAATCTCGTCCTCCATTATTCAATTCCTTCAAGATGACTAGAGTTTGTACTCCAAGGAGGAATTGAAGAACTCCAGATATCAAACTAGGAGTCAGCAATAGAGGTTCAAGAAACCAGCTCCTCCGTATCCAAATTCAATGCAAGCCCAATTAACTTGTCATAGATTCATCGAAATGACAACAGGAGCATCTAGAGGATGTATTATGTACTGATGGTGGAAGAATTCCGCAAGTAATGCACAATCTTCCATTGCAGATTCAACCTAAGAAAAGATGTTGAACAGAACGAGGTTGGGAACTAAGCTTACTGAGCTACTAAAACCTACTTAGGTTGGCAGGTGGCGGGTCAGCTAGCGTACCACTCAAGTCTTGCCATTTCGGTGAATCTTGGAAAGGCAAAACCCATACCAAGAAAGATTAATTAAAGAAAGTTACAAAACCCAAATTGACTGTATCTATTTGTATCTTCTGTTAGTGCTTTGCCCAAAGGCAAATTAGCAAACAACTAAGGCTATTTTTGTTTGAAGGAAAATGGTAGGAAAAGGAAGGGAAAGACAGGGAAACAAATACAAGGTTTGTAAAGGTTTCTCTACCTTTCCCTTCCTTTCCCTATATATTCCTTTAAACTAAGGCTTAAAGTATCGACACGTATCAGTGGCTTCCCGATATGCCCCTACAGGGGTTGTATTGGGTCAGCCACCAGTTCAGAGGGTAGTTGGGCTATAAACCGGCCCCTCTAAACCGATTTCTAAAAAAATAAGTAAAACATAAAAAAAAAACACCTACATAGGCCGATATGCCCTACCAGCCTATCRGTCCGTGTTGATATTTAAAACCTTGCTTCAAACCAAACATAGCCTAAAGGCTAATACATCATTTTCATAGAAGCCATAAAGTATACCTTGTCCTAGAAGAACACCGAATGCCATTAATGACAAATTGAACTTCTCTCTCTTTCTCCATCTCTATCTTTTATCTTCTTCTTTGTCAAGGTTTTATTGGTCCTATTCCTAGTAGTCGACTATTTCACAAAGAGATTTCCTATTGTCGACTACTATCAGTATCATGTTCTTAGTATTCGACTACTTTTTCATAGTAATTGACCCCTACCTCAATAGAGCTCGGAATAACCCAATACCAACATATATCCAACAACACAAAAGGCAAATCAAAAGTTTAAATAAATGAAAGTAAAAAAAAAGCAATCACAAGGAGAGACAAAAGATTTGCGTGGTTCACCCAATGAGGGCTACACCCATGGACAAAGCCAACAAGCCATTGATTTACAACACATCTCTGCTATTGTTGTGTTGGTGATAGAAAATCACCATTTGCACTTGCCAAAACATTCAAGAAATAATCACCTTAGCATCATACCTAGAGAAGTCAAGCTCCACTCCAACTTCTCTAGTTTAGCCGTCTTTGTTAACATGTCTACCAAGTTTTCTTTTGTGTTAACTTTCACCAAATGCACTTTTTCATTTTCAATGAAATCTTGGATATAATGGTATTAAACTGAAATATGTTTGGTCCTCTTGTGATAAACTGAATTTTTTGTCAAACAAATAGCATTATTATTATTATTACAAGATAATTCCATAGGTTTAGAGTCAATTAGGGGGGTAAACAGATCGAATTCAAATCAACTTAGGCAATATTCAAATTTGAATCCGATTACAAAATTCGATACCCAACAGATATTGAATATTAATATTCAAATTTGAATATGAATTCAATTAAATATTTGAATATTCGATTCAATTTGAATTCGACTAGTTAATTATTTTAGATAATTAATAAATATATAAAATAAATATTATATTTATATAAAGTATATAAATATATATATTATTTATATAATTTAATTATCATATATATAAATTATATAAAATATTTAAATATTTTATATATTATATATAAGAATTAAATAATCAGTCCAACTCAAATATTTATTGAATCAAATCAGGTCATATACAAATTTGAATCCGATTAGCTAATCGGTATGAATAGGATATTCAAATGTAACCGATTACGATATTTGAATTATTGGAATTCAAATCGAATTTTTGAATACGGTTGACACACCTAGAAACATTGAAGCCAAACTGCTTCCTTACAAGATTCAGTCAGAGCCATAWATTCAACCTCCACACTAGATAATGCAACTGTTGGTTGTAACTAAGATATCCAACGAATTGGACCATTCCCAAATTGGAACACATATCCTGTTGTAGACCTTCCTTTATCAAGATCATTTGCATAACTTACATCCAAAAAACCAAGCCTTTTACTTAAAATATCCTTGCCATATGTGATGACATAATTACTAGTGCCTCGCAAGTAGCAAAGCAGCCATTTGGTATCTTCTCAATTTACCTTACCTGGATTAGCCATAAATCAGCTCAAAACCCCAACAATATAAGCAATATCTGTTCTAGTGCTTACCATAGCAAAACCTTCCGGTTGTTTCATGTATACTTTCTCCTCAAGATCATCATCCAAGAATGCAGTTTTCACATTCATTTGCTTAAGTTCCAAGTCAAGCATAGCAACAAGTGCAAGAATAAGTTGAATGGAAACCAATTTCAACATTTCCATCAACACCCCTATTTGATTTTGTAAACCGATTTGCACCCAATCACCTTTTGGCCCCAATTCCACCAACTCCCAAGTTTGGTTCTTGTGAAGAGTATTGATTTCTTCATTAACGACTTGCTTCCAATTTAAAGAATTACTATCATCCATAGCTTTATCAAAACAAGTAGACCCACCATCCTATGTTAACAATGCATTCATGGTGGTAGGATCTACACAATCTCTAAGGTGCACTGATAACGGTCTTTCTCTTCTTGGACTATCTTGTAAAAGTAATGGTGCTTGCTAAAAATTGTCAATATTTTATTCGATTTTGCCATCATTCCATTCGCATCAGGTTCAAATAGAGTCCTCTATGAAATTACACCAGTAGGCACAAGTTCAAAATACTCCAGCTCATTCCTAACATCATTTTCTCTCTTTTCCAAAATYTTGGAAAGTACTTGAGATTCATCAAAATACACATCCGAACTAATAATAATTTTTTTGGGAACTTGGATCCCATAAATGGTATCACTTGACATTCTTCCCATAACCAACAAGCTCACATTTTTAAACTTCGAATCCAACTTACCCCATATAGCTATGAATCAAAGCATAAGCATCATAACCAAATATTTTTAAATTCGAATAATCACAAGGAATATGTGAGGAAGATGCATTTAAAACCTTAGCAGCACCATGCTCAAATGCATAGACTGCCATAGTCATGACACCTAATCTGAATTCATCAGAGTACCTAAATGTCACAAAAACAATACATTTAAAACCTTAGCATCATTCTTGATTTTTTATAACTTCCCAAATACAACAAGAAGTAAGAGAAAAATGGATGAATATTACCGATGTGCCTTCATCCATGATTTATCTGGATAATTTTCCATTTCTGACCTAAGCCTTGCCTTCAACCTAATAAGTACTTATGATGCTGTGAATGTTTATAAATAGTATCTTATGGAGTTCTCTTTTTTCTTGGTAAAAAGGTAAGGTTAAATTTATTAACTGAAACAGAACCCTACATGTAAGGCTCTCTTTTAATGTAATCTTAGAGAAGAAACTCTCTAATCTAAAGGCTTTCCTTTAATATAATCTTAGAGAATTGTTTTGATCCAAGATTCAAAACAATTCTTGGTAACCTATGATTAAACGAACACTCTTGACATTGAGTAGCAAAGATTCAGAGCTTGATGTTACTTCTATTGCTGACCTGTCCGTGTTTCATTGGGGGTTGCAAGGGGATGCTGCAACCATAGTTGTAGCAGATGTGCTTTCATCAACTCTCTGGATGCTTTCATCAATTCACCCATTTATTTTTTTTATGTTTTTTAAGCCACAAATGTCGATAGGCACTTATCCTAAATGTTGAAAAGAAAGAACCTTACATCGAAGTTGTCGGCTTAGTAGCTAGAGCTCATAAGTGTCCTAGCTAATAGACCGGCTTACCACGAGTACTCAAAAGAAACTCAAACAGTTTGATAATCTGTACCTTTCAAGGGTGGGTCCAGCCATCCGGTTATACATTCATATGTTTCCAGAGATTGTGCTTGGATTATATTAAATGTAAGACAAATAAATGGGTGTGGGGTGTCGGTGGCTGAAGGATATTCAAAGGAAGAGAGACGTGTAATAGCAGTGAAGGAGAGAGCAAGATACAAAACTATCTCCCTTCAAATAAGCCCATCAAACAAGCTGTGGGTCTGACATGATTCAGGCTTTTAACAGAGAAGCCAACATTTTGAGTAAGTTAACGTTAGAAACAAGAGAAGAGAACATTTAAGAATGTTTCTGCAAATGTCCTCTTTGATGTAGATACATTGTCAAAAAGAACACTCAGAAAATGATCATAGTCCAATGTTCTGATCGACAAGATAACAACCTCATTGTCGCATGAAATTTAGGTGTTAGAAGAGGGCTCCTGATTCTTCTGTTTGGCTATATGCCATATATATAGTTGAGGGAAGATTTATGGCTATACAGTCCTAGCAACTCTTACTAGAGAACCAGAATTTAATGAGTCCAACTTAAAAAGATTTTAAACTTTAATACAAATGACAATTGGAGGACCTACAGTCAAAGAGGAAAATCCTGAAAGAACGAACTGCCTGACGCATCTATATGAGCATATGACGGTGAGTGGCTTAGTAATCTCAATAATATTATACAAGATAATTGCATCGAACACTTTGTAAGTGTTATATGTAACAGGATAACACTTTGCGCAAAACAAAAACACATGCGTATAGAGTGCCGATATGGAGGAAATGTATATACAAAGTACAAAAACTCAGAAAAACAAAATAAAATCAAGATGAAAACAATAGAGAAAAACATTGCTTAGAAAAACCTAATTAATTCCAAAATAAAATAAGTTTTGTCATATAGAGATAAAAGAAACTAAAGAAAATTATTCACAATACCTCCAAATGCTTCTAACCAGGCTGAGTAGATGCTTCTAACGTTGGGGGTTTTACCACTGAAGATGCTTTAAATGCTTCAAATACTCCAGTCATTCAACGAACAAAGTTGAGTTCGGCTAGGGCATTATGGAAAGAAATTAATAATGGAATGAATTGAGATGCATGAAAGATATATTAAATGGATTGAGATTACTTTCACCTTAATCCCATGCTGCCGAATGATCCAAACACCAGGTTGAATAAACTTAATCTCAACAAACTTATTTCATTCTGTATGGCTGACTCCAACCCTAATCTCAAGCGCTAAACTTCAAAATCCTGAGGAAAAGGGGACAGTATCAGCAGATTTCTCTAGGAGAGGAAGAGAGGTAGAAGAGAAGAGGAAAGGACAAAAAAAAGAGAAGAAATGGGGAAGAAAAAGGAGAAAAGAGAGGAGGAACTCGTTTACATGCAGCGAGAAGGTGAATAGTTGTTTGTCGAGAGGATATTTGGCTTGTGTGCGCGATGGTATTTGGGCGCCAAACTAAATCGGCGACTATTTTGGTTGAATCTGTAGAGTCGCTTCAACGATGTATAATGGGAGAGCTGGCTAGCCTGGCTTCGGTGATGACGAGGAAGAAAGTTAGGGTATCGAACAACGAATCAGAAGGAGGGAAAGTTCAATATTAAAATTAAAATTAAAAATGTATATTTCTATTTTTAATATATATATATTAATATTAAATACAGTTTATAGTAGGTAGAAATGGCAATTTTTACCTACTATAATCGGTTCTTGGGACAATTGGGTCTGACCCGATTATAAACCTACTATATATATATTGATGAAGAAAGTTAGGGTATTGATCAATCGATGAGAAGGGAGGGAAAATTAAAAATGATCAATTGGGGATAAAATTTATTCTCCATCCCCGATCCCCTACGGGGATGGTTTTCCACTCATTGTTATTTAGTATGTTTTGCAATAAAATATAATTAATTTATTTTTTTAGTATTTTAATTAAGCTTTAGGCCTTTTAGAAATTTTGAACTTTTAATTAATTTTTTATGCTTTTTCGTTATTGTTTAGTAATTTTTGCATGAGTATTTTTCAATAAATTTTGATTGGCACACCTTACTAGATCATGATTAGGGGGTACAAGTTAGTGCTGTCAATGGGTTGGGTCTAGGTTGGGTGTTGGAATCGAAATCGATCCGATAAGAAATTTTAAGGACCTATAACTGAATTGGGCTCGACAAGGTTTGTAATTTTTAGACCTATAAACGAATGGACCGGTTCTTAGGGCAATTGGCTCTAAGGATAATGTATTAGGACCTGAAATCGACCCAAATCAATTTTTGTCCATCGGGTTGTACTCGACCCATTGACATCCCTAGTACAAGTTAGGCTAGGTTATGTCAAGTTTTGGCAAACCAAATCCAACATGAGTTGTGGAACACTCAACCATAACATTAATCCAACTTGAAAGCTTCAATTAGGTTGGGTTCATACATTTTAACTCTAACTTTACCTTAAATATTAGCCTAATCCAACCCTTCTCAAATTTTTCAAGTTGTAGGCCTAGTCATGCATCTAAACTGAACGAGTCTGAATCTCCTGCCCATGAGAACTTTGCCCACATTTATCGCAGTCATACATGGATAACATCTCATCCTCTGCATAGTGTTATGCAGGGGGAGATGTTCTCAATTCATGGGGGATAGTGTATTGTGGGTAGGCATGGGAAGAATTCTCGTGGGCAGGAAATCCAGAGTCAAATTGAACACTCACCCCTAATTAATGAACAAACTAATTATTTAATTAATGATTACAAATAAAATAACAATTATAATATAATAGACAACATTATTAATTAATTAAAATAATATTTAACATTTAATTAATTAATTAGTGTTATTAGAGTTGCTTTACCTACTATTTTTCATTTTTTTACAACCAACCAATCAAATGTAAATATTTTCCACCTATTTATTTATCTATCATTACTACAATTAATGCATAAGTATTTTAATTAAAATGAGAGTATACTTAATATTTGAATATAAATTTCTAATAATAACGAATAAACAAATAAAAATAAATAATTAATTATTTCAAAACATTAGTTATACTAATAAAACTTAAAAATAATTTGCAAAAATTAAACTCTCACTTAATATATAAACATATTTCTATATGTATTATCAAATTAACTATAATTAATTTAAGAAATTAAATAATAATAATAATAAAGATAGTAATATTAATAACAATGATATGTGGTGGTAGTAGTAGTAATAATATACTAACATTACTTAGCATAAATAACCAAAAWATTAATATTTTTAACGACGTTTAAAATAAACGTCGTCATATGTTCAAAACTAAACGTCGTCAAATGTTGTGTTTCAACGACGTTTAGTACAAACGTCACTGAAAGCATATATGGCGGGAAAGAAGTTTTTATGACGTTAGTTTAAACGTCGTCAAACACTCGGCGTGAAATGTAACTTTTACAACAGTTATCCGTAACCGTGGCTAAAAGTTCACTTTCTGCGACGTTTGCCACTGACGTCGTTAAAAGTGGAATTTTTTTTTATAAACGTCGTGAAATTGACGTCGTCAAAACGTTTTTGTAGTGCGGGGATCCCTACTCGTGATTTTTTATAGTGCCAATCATTTTGTTTTTGTTTTTGTTTTTWTTTTATTTTATTTAAAAATAAAAATAAAATAATTAATAATTATAATCATATTAGGAAAGATTCAAACATATTTAAGCATATTTTTAAAAAATATTAATATATAGACACATGTATAAATATATATATATATAAATGTATACGTACATATATACATATATTAGCGGGGATCCCACGGGGCGAGGAGTGCTCTCCCCACCCCCGCCCCATCCCCACCAACGGGGATGAAAATTTCCCCATCCCCGCCCTATTCGGGGCATATCCCCACAAGGATCGRGGAAATGAGAAAAATTATCATCTCTACACTCTACGAAAATTAGGTTCATGTGCTCCACCACACTATTTTGTTATGAGGTGTATGCTATGAAATTATACATAACAATTCCTTCATCGCAAAATTTAAGGAATTCATCCTTTTTATACTCTAAACCATTATCTGTCCGAATAAATTTAATGTATTTGCCGATTTGTTTCTCGACTTCAATTTTGAATTGTTTAAATGCTAAAAAAGCTTAATCCTTGAATTTCAACAATCTAACCCAAACCTTTCTTGAACAATAATCAATGAAAGAGATAAAATAGGATGCACCTCCATAAGAAATGGTACGTGATGGACCCCACAAATCAGAATGGGTGTGATCAAGAAAACCTTTGCTAGTATGTTACCAGCCTTGAAACTTATTCTATGTGCTTGCCATAACACAATTCTCACAAAATTCCTTTTCACCAATTTGAAATTTAGTAATGAGGTTTTGCTTCATTAAATCTTCCATACCTCTTTCACTCATGCGACCAAGCCTTCGATGCCATAATTGTGCTTGAAATTCATCATTCTCTTCTACCATGTGTGCATGATCAACCACCGTGCTTCCAAACAACTTATTCAAATTTACAAGACCGGTGCCTTTCATCACAATAAAAGCACATTTATTTTATGAATTCCACATTGCCCAATGAAATTGTAGCCACCTGAAAACAGTTCTGACAAAGAAATTACACTTTTCTTTAATCCCAGTATATGTCTGAAATTTGAAGAATTCTAACATTTTCATCAAGCATCCCTAATTGTTTGTTTCCAATCCCCATTGTCTTGCTTATAGTATTTTTTTCCCATAAAAAACAGAACCACCTTCACAAGGTTGATAGGAGTAAAACTAAGAATTATGTGGACAATTATGATGAGTAACACCACTATCAAGAATCCAATATTGACAGAAAGTGGGATTGCTATTAACTATAAGCACTTCGTCTTCAATTATCCCGGATGTTGATTCTTCAACTTGGTTGGCTTCATTCTTTGGCTCAGTCCATTCTTCTCCCTACTATTTCCTTTGTTCCARTTTTAATTTTTCCTCTTCCAACAATCATTTTTAAAATGACCTTTCTTATCACAATGCCAACAACTATACTGTTCTTGTTGGTCCCTTGATTTTGAATGGTACTTGGACTTGCTTCTTGAATTCTTATTGGTAGAGTTACTCTCCTCAAGTTGTCGGYCTCTATCCATCCATAAGTGCTTTATTTGCATTATCCCCTGAACTCTCCGAAGATGCCTTTTTTTAAGTTCATCAGCTAGCAAGGCACTAGATACATCATTTAAGCAAAGAGTGTCAACTTTGGCACAGCTTAATAAGATTGTAACCAAGTTGTTGTAACTATCCAACAAGATACACAACAAGGTCACCACCTTATCTTCCTCTTCCATCCTCACACCGATGCTCTCAAGTTGACTAATTATGTCATGRAAGATGTTCAAGTGTTCAGAGAAACCTTCATCCCTTTCTTCATTTTCATGCTATACAACTTCTTTAAGAGTACCCGATTTAGGAGAGACTTGGTTTGATACAAACTTTCTAATTTTGTCTACAGTCCTACAACTGTTTTTTCTMTTTTTACATTGAATATTACTTCATCTGCCAAACACCAAGCGAATTGTATAAACTGTCTTCACGTCCAATCTTGTCCTAATCATCATCTGACATACTTTKTGACTTCTTATCCTTTCCAAGCAAAGCTTTATACTGCCCTTATTGAACAAGAATGTCATGGAATTTAATTTTTCATAGCTCAAAATTCTTTGTCTCGTCAAACTTCTCAACCTCAAACCGGTTACTTGCCGTTTTACCACACTTACCTTTTCTCAAACAATTTCACAAACACCTTGTGTGTCAAACCTGGAAGCTCTGAATACCATTTGTCAAGGTTTTGTTAGTTCTTATTCCTAGTAATCGATTATTTCATGAAGAGATTTCCTAATAATTGACTACTATCAGGATCTTATTCTTAGTATTTGACTATTATACAAGAGATTTCGTAGTAGTCGACTACTATTTCAACAAAGCACAAAATAACCCAATCCCAACAAATATTCAACAACACAAAAGGCAAATCAGAAGTTTAAGTAAAGGAAAGCAAAAGGAATAAGTAATCACAAGGAGAGACAAAAGATTTATGTGGTCCACCCAATGAAGGCTACATCCACGGGCATAGCCAGCAAGCCATTGATTTACCATCATTAAATGGTTTCAAGAGATTGTGTAAAACACCTCTTTATTATTGTTGTGAAATACCCACATATACAAACCCCTTTTGTAACTTAAACATAGAGTATCATCACCTCTACAAATAGTATAATACACCCTTTTTAAGAAAAGGTTGTAGAGACAACCACCACACCTAAGTGTATCTTGCAAACACAAAGAAGCTTTCTATCGTTCCTTCTTTTCTGCTACTCTTTCTTTGTCTCTCAAAAGGCCCTCTAAAAATAAAGGAAACCTACTAAGGATATATTCCCTCCTTAGTTCTTATTCCCACATAGCTCAAACTAAGAAAACCAAAAAGGCCCTTCCAAATAAAGAAAACACCACTTAAGTGCATGGAAATAACATGGTGATTTTTTTATCACATACAACATTCTTCTTCTTCTTTCTCCTTTCTTCTCTTCTCTC